CACTTTGACATAGGCCAATATACGTGTGCTCTTCCCTCATGCTACATCAACAGTGTTAAATTTTTGACACTAGGATCTCAATTCCATTAGACAGGTTTACTGGCACAAATCAGTTACCTGGTGGTAGCTTAAGCTGGTGCCTCAAAAAAGGAACCGCAAACAAAAACCCCTGGGCAATCTGAACTACTCAGCAGTCCAGGTCAATAAGTGATTTTAGGGTCTGGGATCCTGTCAGTCTTCATTGGTCCACTGTTCTGCTACCCAGTGGTGCTCTGTGGTCATATTCACGCCCTCTTAGGCTGTTTCAGGGGGAATTTCAGTTGGTTCTGTGGCCCATATTGTAATATGGTTGTTAACATTCACATACCACGATTTATGGGCTGTCCACTCCAGCTATTAATTTTAAAGTAATATTTAAGCCATTAACATTGTCTAGTCTAACAGCTGTTAATATTCAGGTTGTTAGCCCCACGTTTTGCTATAATCCATCTTTGACTTACTCAACAGAGCCTTGTAGTTCAAGTGAAGTTCAACTTGCGGCCTAACAACTCTGGCTGCTTACATCGCTCAGCTACTTTCAAATAAGAGAAAAATTTCTGCACACAGGGTCCCCATATTTCAGCTCAACAGAAAAATTTCTGCACACAGGGTCCCCATATTTCAGCTCAACAGAAGAACCAAAGACTTAATGCAGGTTTATTCACTGTTATTGCTGCTGCTGGATTTGTTTTTCTGCCCTAGACCTCCTTGCACTCCACACTGGCCTCACCTGCTCACAGCAAAGCCCTCTCCACCTCGCATTCCTCAGGACACACCCACTCAGATTCCCCTCTGTACTTAAATCTTGAAGACAAACTGTGAGGGACAGAAATGTTAAAGGTCACTGACTCAAACAAACAACATTGCTGAGGCCCAGGCTTGCACCCTGCAATGGAAGGGGGAAGAAGAGGGGGGTTTGTGTGCTGTGTTGAAACCTCTGATCTGCCTAAGACAGGAGAGGCTGTACACCCAGCACGGGAGGATGGCCGCGACAAAACGAGCTGGGGCTTGAGCCAGATAAGGTGAATAAGGCATAGACCCTGTGTAGGTGGGAAAATGCTTTTTATCACATCAGTGTCCTCCCTTACACACATGGCTCAGGTGTCAAACAACACCTCCCCATCCACGGGGAGGTATTGGGATTTTCACACCTAGGCCTGAAGGTGCTTATCCCTCCTAATAAGACATAATATGAGAAACACCAGACTAAGATAGGGTCATAAACCATCAAAGACCCCTAAAGTGCCCCCAGACTCATTTCTGGGGCCTTGCAACAGACTTAATTCATCCTTTCCAAGGGAGGTACCTGGGCATTCCCACCCGAATGTCTATTAACCCACTGAACTCTGTTTTGGGGACTTCCCCCATCCCTAACTGATCAAGACAGCAAGCATCACTTTGAGCAGCAGACATCGGAATTGCAATGATATCTCTCCACAATCTATTCTTATCCTTGCTTTTTTTTCCTTACGTATTTTCTTAAGTGATATTTTCATACTTTTGTATTATCACATTAGTAGAGATAATAACCATAATGGCTACATACATCATTTCCATTGCAACCAAATTATTCTAAAATAAACCCCATACGTGTATATACATATAAACACCAGGTATTCAGTGTTCTTTCTCTCAAATCTGCCCCAAGGGTCCTATTAACAAGAACCTCAGTTACTGTGACCTCCGAGGGCATCTTGTAACAAAACCAAAACCAAGGCCTTCTGCCATCTCTGTCCTTGTTTCCATAGCCACTGATTTCAAATGACTGCTTATGTCCTTCCCATGTTACTCTATTTTTTGCCGTCTTTTATTACAAATCCAAGACCTTTGTAACAAAAATTCTGCTTATTCCATAATTATACAAAGCCTTGTAAAAAATAACAGGGAATGAAGGCACTTCCCTTCTCCCTCAAGTTTAATTTGAATGAAGAGATGATGAGTGATTTGTCTTAGACTACTTGTTTGAAGGGGCTTATCCACCAATGCATTTGTAACCCTGCTTTTTGGAGTGCAAGGGTGAGGAATTGTCCAGCCAAGATTCTGTATAAGGTCTCAGACAAGGAAGTGCACTAGGAACTTCAGACAAAAGCAAAGGGTGGGGGAAAGAAAAAAAGAAAGAATGTAATACAGTACAAGGAAGAAAGTGAAGAATAACTGGGCCATCCAACCTGCTTTTCACAAACATATGAAAGTAAAAAGAGAAATGTGATTTTCTATGTGAATGGGGCCATAACTGTTCACAAACCATTCTCAGGAGAATCTCCACCCTTTAGTAGGAGGTTACTGTGTTTCACTCTTGCTAACATGACACTCACAGTTGTTCAATGTATCCATCTGTCTCAACTATACAGCCCTAGTTAACACTTTTCAGCAATATATATAAATTCAGCAAGACTTTTTATCCCAAATAAAAACTAGCACACCATATTTTGTGAAATCTCAGCTCGACTGAAACACCAAGGACCACTAAAAATCCAAAAGAAAATGCAAAACCCATAAATACACATGATCTCACACAACAAAAGAAAAAAGCTGCATGGCCAGGAGATGAACCTAACAGACCTTCCAGGCCTTTCAAAACTAAGGACACAGCCTGCAGGGAAGAGGGAAGGAGGAAATACTTTCACTTGCCTTAAAAAATAACCCCCTGAGCATTTGATAAAAGCAGTCAGTGTTTATAGCCACGTTCCTGGTTGTGTCTGGCTGGCCAAAAACTATCCTTTTAAAAAGCCGTATTGGAATACACTAGCAATAGCTCCAAGATAGCAAATTCACTTAACACAGGAATAAGCTACAAAAAGTTACTATATCTTTGATGACACAGAGTATCTTGAAAAGCTCCGCAGGAAAATGAAAACAAAATAGGAAAAGAAAACCAGCCAAACCAGAAACTTGCATAGAAAAATTCAACTGCAACAAAACCGAAATTACAAAGTTTCGTTTCACTTTCTTGGGCAAAAAGTAAGATTGAAAAAGTTAACTATTTTTACCCTATCCCCTCCATTTAAAAGGCAGTGCTATCAAAACAGAGGATCTGAACAAATTAAGGTGTTACTAACAGCATAAGAAAATTATGACTTGTCTCATTCAGCAAGAAACAACTCGGCAGCCTCTGAAAAACCTCAAGTCTTTGGCAGAATTAGAATTTCTAGCTAGCAGACAAGTTTGTCAAGGCAGAAAACGCTGTCGGTGACGGTCAGTGTTTGCAGCGGGCAGCGTCCTGCAGCACCGTTAGCCGCCGGTCCCGGCCGGAGCAGCTTCGGAAGCTGAACCGACAGCCCAGGCTCTCGGTTAGAACCGAACCGCTGGAGCCGCTCAGCTCCGCAGGTGGGCTGGGTAACGCCAGGAGCTGCGGGGCCACACGTGGGACAGCTCCGCGATTCTGAAGGATGTACTGGAAATGCCAGCCACAACTTAGCTGGACACTCCCTTCAGACTCCTGGATGCTGCCAGAGGCCTCGGCCGACGAACGGCGGCTCCATGTGCCGGTTCCGATGAGGAGGCCGCCGCCGGGTCCCTTGGCGGCTGGAACACCGGGGCAGGCTCCCGGGGAGGTCCCGGTAACCCGCGCCGAGCC